GGGGGGGGGGGAAACGACTAGAGCTGGGCTTATTATGACTTATGCCTTTGTACCTCTCATGTGGAGATCCCCTTGTTAATGAGTACATCTTCTTCTGTCGAGGACGATTCCCTCCTCTCACATTAACCCTTATTTCATGGAATGGACTGAATTAAGACTTGAAGGGAGGAAATGTTTATTTTTTGAAAGGTTGCCTTTGCAATTGCCTTCGCCGCCCCTGCCGCTGTTCTCTTTATCGAGGTGTTTCCGAATATTAATAGCAGTGCTATGTAGGCCCTAACGCTATCCTCTTGTTGCGAAGGAGAGAGGTGGGTGATTTCATGGGAAGGAAGGAAGGAAGGAAGGACACGTAGAGGTCGAGGGAGGCAGGAAGGGGCTCCTTAGACGTTCGAGGTAGCTTGGACTGGAGGGGAAGAGAGTTTTGAGGGGGGTTACTTGTCTAAAAGTGTCCTTGATTTCCCAACCTCTCTGGTGTTGGCATGCCGGTGGGTGATGTCTACTACAATAGCGCCGCCCGCCCACTGTCTCAACCGATCGCTTTTCACTCGACTTCCATTGGCTGCTGTTTTTGCTCTGTGCTATAGGTGAAACTTCCGCCCTCGACTGTGGAGATGTACGACAAGGCCGTAGAGTTCTGGATGCTGCTGAGGAAGGAGTTGGAGAAGGCCGCTTCGGCGTGCGGCAACAGCGGCATGTGCAAGGCCGAGCGGTGCAAGGACGGACACGTCTGCTCCCCGGTGAGAGATAATACCCACCACTGGTTTTTAAAGTACAGCCACAACCTTAGCAACCAGCTGTGTTTTGCTGTTGTTCACGAGTTTTGACACTGTTATTTGGGCCGTTCGTTTCTTGTTACGTTTTTCCTACAGAATCGAACCGCATTTAATGCTGTAGAGGGGTATCCGCTGACCATTGCACGGCAAATCGTTTCTCAATCCTTCTTCGAATCACTACAGGGTAGAGGTCGGAGCGTGTTCATAAATGTGAAGACGACAGCAACAACAACGAGTTGAATTTGCTCGTAGAGTGAGCTGGTACAATGCCGGTTGGGCGTCCGTTGTGCTTAGTCCACACCTTGTGCGCCAGGGCGGGGCTAGAGGCGGCCTGAGCTCATGGAGCCCCGTCGCCCAGCGGGCTATTTCTATCTCATCATCTATCTCATTATCTATGTCGTGATCTATCCCGCGATCCATCTGATGAAATACCGCGATAATTATTGCCGTGGTATAGAAGTTGATCTAACAAAGCGGAAATTTTTGCACAAACGGGTCTAACCAAGGAAGTATTATTGTAATAATTGGCCATCCGGTATGGCCTGTCCACCTGAGTGCCGTTAACAGCTTGACTGATTTTTCTGTTAACGCTATTCCTGCCATGTTTTTCTTGCTCCGTACGCCGTTGCAGATGCGTCAGTTCTGGGGGCAGCAGCAGCGTTTTTTCAAGGAGATGGCAAACGCGTCCAAGGTGGAGTTCGTTGTTGCGCAAGCGAAGGAGGCGCTGTCGAGTGGCATGAGTGTAGTCATCGGCCTGCAGAGCACCGGGGAGAGCGGAATGGACAAGGTCGGGAACGTCGTGGCTTGTAGCTGGTTGGCTTTTTGTTGCTCTTGTTGTTTTGTCTTGAAGTTACGTTGAAAAACGTTATTTTACACGCCTATGCAGTTTTCTCTCTTCCTCAGGATTGTGGATACCCGACTTGATCCCTTACCGTGTGTATGCCCTCATATACGGGCGGGACCATGATGGAAGGCATTTTTACGGCCTATTCGGCACTCTGCTGAAATCGCAATATTGGTTTGGGCTGATGGGTTAGGGTTGGTCGTGTTTGGTGTGGCCGGTTATAAGGTTAAACGTAGCTCAACACGGGCTCGGTCAGCTCTATATCAATTCCTTGGTCAATATTATTGCCCACAAGGGTCATGTCAGTCCGTAAAGCAACGAGTTTTTTGTTTTATGTCTGGCTGACGGGAAAATACTCGTCCTACATGCACCCAACCAATCGGACCTCTCACAAGAATACACGCAGCCAGCCATGGAGTGAACCTCCAATACTTCAAGACGGATCTTGGCGTGAATATTCATCTCAACAGTTGTTGATTTTGACGGCATACCTTTTCAAGTGTGTTGCTTTGTTTAGTCTTCAGTTGCTTGTACCGATAGCGGTCTATCACGGCTACCCTTCCTCACAAACTGAAGGGGCTTGCGTTAGGCGTACACGCAATTTTTGACTTCATTTTGGTTCGCGTGTTCTCGTCTGGGGCAATGGCGTGTGGTGCATGTGTGTGTTACTTCTGGGTGCAGGCAATGTCGGAGATGAAGAAGAGGCCGGGCGACACCGTTGCCACGCTCATCAGCGCCGCGCACTATGGCACCATTGGGGTAAGTCGGCGTCCTCCTAAACCCCAACCTATGAGTCTATCGTTGTCCCAACTGTTTTCATTCTACATTTCGCCGCGATCAGGATAGCAAGCTAGATGGTTAGTGGACGAGGGCTCGGGTTAGCGCACACTATCTAAATTAGACAGGCTAGGGTGGATGCAAGCGTTAGGGCTGGGCTACAGCAATAGTGGACTTCAATCAAGACAGGGAACGACTGTCCTAGCCCTAACCTTGTGCCCAATAAACCAAATCCGGATTGTACCGCTGCCGTCCGCAACACCATGGGAAGACCGTCCCATCCCGACATTCCGGGCCGCACCATGTCGTTGTGGCCCCATCGCTCGTAAGGTGTACATCAACGTTTGCATACCACCCGTCCCCATACCATGCTGTTCCGTGCCAAAGCCGAGCGCCAAACCGTACCGTACCCGTGTCGTATCTCACAGTACTGGTCCGGGTCGACGGTGACCCGGAAAGGGACCCAAATTTTATCGCTTCTTGATGGCGCTTTTTCCGGCCGCTCCAGCGATGCTGTTTTGGGGGCCTTTCCTTTCCTTAACTGATTCGGATGCGATCTTGGTCACTCCGGGTGTTGGCCTTCCGCCTGATGATGCCTGCACGAAGCTCGTGTTGAAAGTAGGGCGGCGGTTATGTCGACGGAAGGATAAGTGGCGGCGAGTGGTATCTAAGGTGGCGTCTATGTGATCTATCCGTCGCCTTTGGGTGGCCTGCTTGCCCCCCTTGTTTTCGTTTTCTTCTCTCTTCGCAGTTCATCAAGCAGTTCTTTCCTACGCGAACAGTGCCGAAAGAGGTGAAGGTCATGACAGACCAAGACATCGAGGACATCATCAGCTGCCAGTTGAACGTGGGTGTCTTAACTGAGGATAGCCGACGTTGATTGTAAAACTTGAAGTGACATTGCGACCGTCGCTGAATGACGTCGAATATGATACTTTTCGCACTAAATGTATTCAGAAGATATCCAAAGATGCTCCTTGCTTCCAAGGTCGCTTGTCCGCTCGTTTAGACTATATATTGTACTACGTTTGTAGACAGGTCTGCGCTGGATTGCCGTGGCATTCCTGTGACAGCCTCTTGTTTTGTCCCTCGCGATTGGAAGGCATGGGCTACTTTTCACCAGCGGATTTCTCTCGCACGCCCTGTTTCCTTGTTTCTCGACTATTTTTGTCTTCCCTGCCTCATTCTGGTCCAGGGTGTTCTCGCTGACACTGCTGTCTTCGTACCTTGTGCAGTCCCATTGCTATGCCAGCTTAGTTTTTCCCAGTTGCCTAACCGTTGACGCCTATACGTGAAACAGGAGTTGTCCGAAGAAATCGGACTGATGCTTGAAGAGTTCGAAACCGATTGTTGCTGTCCCAGACGCATGGCATCGCGCAACAGCCGGCGATACAAATGAATGCTTGTTTTCTGATGGGCACGGAACTTTGGGGGCGTTTTTTCTCCCTTGTTGCTGTTTTCCGATGTTGATGTCGTTACTTGTTGATGTGTTTCGTAGGTGCACATCCAAGCGGGAATCGCGACCCTGTTCAACGTGGAACAGGCTAGGGCAAGTCTCCGCAAAGACCAAGAGCAGAGCAAGGTATTGATGCTGGTGCTGGCGGTGGTAATGATGATGCCGTTGTTGTTGCTGTTGCTGTTGCTGTTGCTGTTGCTGTTGCTGATGCTGATGCTGCTGCTGTTGCTGTTGTTGCTGTTGTTGTTGCTGCTATTGCTGGTACTACTTCCGTTGTTTGCCAAGCTGTTGTTGCTTACGCTGTTGGTGTTTCGTCGTCGTCGTCGTCGATATTGATGGTTGTTGTTGGTGTTGTTGTTGTTGTTGATGATGTATCCAAACCCGCTCTGGCCTGTCGCAGCACAACCCTGCTCCGAAGCTTTTTTGTTTTGATGGGAGGCTTTCAAATCCATATCATAATGAACAGGTGCTGAAGGCCGAGCACGCCAAGTCGCGTGAGCTTCAGGATTGCGTGGAGGCTAAGGAAAAACTGCTTCAAAAGGCGAAGGTCGGTGTCGCGTCTCGGTTCCCTCAATTGCTTTTTGTCACGCCGTGTTCCGATTGAAACAGAACGTCCAGCAGCAACCGTTTTTATCGAGAGGTGCCATATTTTTGTTGCCGCTCGACCTCATCGACGCGCGCAAGAGACTATTCGATGAATAAACCCACAATAACTTACCAATGAACCTCCGATAAACACTCCCCCGATCAGTATCCCCCGAAAACTGATCAATACTTCACCGACAAATGATCTCCACCGATAGAATAATCCACGGATTCCGCAGACAAGTAGATTACCAGTAGGCCTCGCCTCATCCAAGCAACTAAAGAGTAATTGCAACAATCCCTGTGATGGCATGGTATGGCATGGTATGGCATGGTATGGCATGGCTTTATGCAATGCACTCGTCCGCCTTCAAACCGCTCCCTGCCGAAGAAACAGGACGAAACTGACAGATCAGGTACAACCAAGCCTCGGATCTGTAACATTAAAACAACACGACATTCCCACAGGAGCTTCGACTGCTTCCTTCTCCGTTAGACGCCCTCATCGATGCTCTGGGGGGGACGGCAGAAGTCGCCGAGATGACTGGCCGAAGGGGAAGGCTCGTTCGTAGGGTCCGCGGTGACGCTCGATTCACGTACGACCTTAGGCCGGAAAACGAGGAGACCAGGTGGGTGGAAAAATTGCACTGCTATACAGATGTTTCTTGTGCTGGTACAGTAAATACCCCAAAAGAGTGACAGACGAATGTCATGCCACTTCTCAGTGCAGTACCACTATTGCGTTATAGTGGCATTTTCCCACTATTTTGCCAATGTTGAGGAGAAAAGGCTTTGGTATGCACACTACATACATCATGCGTAGAGAAGGCTTGTTTTTTTCTGTATTGTCACTCGAATCGATTGTGGTTGGGCAACCGGATGGGCAGCTTCCATCACAACCAAAATCTCATCGATCAAATGGGGTCCAGCTGATAGTGTCAGGAACAACAAATCGGTACCGCCCTCTCGCTTGTCGCTTGGCTCAGACCATCATCCCAACCAGACGCGCTATGGTCGACACTAGTTCATGATCACCCCGTCCCCTACTCTCTCTCTCTCTCTTTCTCTCTCTCTCTCTCTCTCGCTATGTGTCTCCCTCTGTCTGGCTCTCTCTATGTGCCTCCATCTCTCTCTGGCTCTCTCTATGTGTGTCTCTATGTCTCTCTCTCTCTCTCTCTCTCTCTCTGTGTGTGTCTGTCTGTCTGTCTGTCTGTATGCCTGTCTGTCTGTCTGTATGCCTGTCTATTTGTCTGTCTATCTGTCTGTCTGCTTGCCTGCCTGCCTGCCTGTCTGTCCCTGACAGCCTGAACATCCGCGAGCGCGAGCTGTTCATGTCCGGGAAGAAGAGGGTGGCCATCATCAGCGACGCCGCCAGCACCGGGGTCTCCCTCCACACGGCGGTGGGGTCGGGATCGGAGGGGCGTCGGCGGCTCCACATCACTCTCGAGCTGCCGTGGTCCGCGGACAAGGCCATACAGCAGCTGGGCAGGAGCCACCGCTCCAACCAAGCGTCGGCGCCGGTGAGAGTGGACTTTTTAACGGTCCGCCGACACCACCACGTAATTTAGATTTGTGTTTTATTGATTTTTTGTAGAAAATATCCATGCGATCAAAGAACGAATAACCCGTAAGGCAACAACGCCAAAGCAGTCGAAGGGGGTATGTTGTTTGTGTTTTTTTTTTCTTGTTTTTGGTATTTTTTGGTGTTCGCCGGGTTTGTGAATTCGGCGATAGGCCTATCTAGACACATCGCAGTTAAAACCTCTCCTTTGGGTCAATGTACCCCCTTTTGTCTGAGAGGTTGTGTTGAACCCTTTACGTTTTGCAACACACGAACACCAGGTGCTCCGTGACTGCTGGTTGCTGATTCCGTGGCGGCAGTGGTTTCTGCCGCAGCTCATTTTATACGCTTGTTATTGAGGCATTACACAAGCGTCAGAGGCGTGAAAACAACGACAACACCAACCTTAACACGCTACAAACGGCCAAGTCCTTCTCGCGATCAAAACCGAGCCAAGCAACGTAGTGGAAAAAACAACCCTCTGTGGCCTTCCTCCGGTATGACCCCGGCCGGTGCGTCCGGAAATTGTCCCGACTGGTACAAAGACGGACATCAGAATGGTGGTGGGCCAAATAAACAACACGCACACACGCACACACGCACACACGCCTTGGAGGTGTTCCGACTTCTAGTGCCGTCCAGAAACTGTGCCGAAAGGTGTAAGGACGGACGTCAAAATGAAAGTGTGGCAAAAAAAAAAAACACCTTGCAGGTGTTCCGACTACTGGTGACCGATCTCGGGGGGGAACGTCGCTTCGCTGCAGCCGTCGCCAAGCGGCTGGCCAGCCTAGGGGCCCTGACGAAGGGAGACCGTCGCGCCGCCACAGGAGCCGACTTTAGTTCCTTCGACCTGGACACCAAGTACGGCCGCAGGGTAAGGCTAAACCTAACCATGTGCAGCGGTTGTGGTAACGGATCACGTCGTGAATATCGAAGTTGATGGTCCATGATTTTTTGGTGACGTCATCTGGTGGGCGGCGCGTTGAGCTGAAAAGTGTTGTCACTGTCTATGCTTCCAATCATTTGCATCCTTCTAAGACTGTAGAAATTCTTGCTGTCTAAGCCGTCTTGCTCTCCCTCTGTTTGTGTCTCTGTCTGTCTGTGTCTGCCTCTGTCTGTCTGTCTCTGTCTGTCTCTGTCTCTGTCTCTGTCTCTGTCTCTGTTTCCCTCTGTCTCTGCCCCTCCCTCACTCTTTCCCCCCCTCTCTTTGTCCCCCCTTGTCTCTCTCTCTCCCTCCCTCTCTCTCTCCCTCCCCCTTCCTGTCTCCGTCTCTGTCTCTCTATCTCTGTCTCCCTCTCCCCCCCTCTCACTCTGTCTCCGTCTCCATATCTCTGGGTCTGCCTCTCTCTCTCTCTCTCTCTCTCTCTCCCTCCCTCCCAACCTCAGGCGCTCAAGTCCATGATGACGGCCATTGTCACCAAGACGGGGCTAACCCCTGGCGTCGACTTGATGACCCTCCGCCCCTTCGTGCAATCTGGTCGGCTCATGTCAACCGCTCCGGTCGCAGCTACCCCAACCCCATCCTCTGACAACGAGGGTGGTGCGACGGGAGCCGCGGAGATGGTGGCGGAAGAGCTCGGGCAAGACGCCAAGGCAGAGATCAAGATTGCTGCCATGCTGGTGAGAGTTGGGGGAAGTATCAAAGGGTTGTGATGCCAAACCTTCTTGGGGGGGCTGGGTTGCGGCGGAAGAATGTCTAGGGTTGGGGTTAGGACTAGGGTGAGCGTCGGCAAACCGAGCATGGAGATGGTTGTCTTTCGCCAGCGGCACGATAGAGAAGAGAGGGACGGGCCATCAGTGTCCAATTCTGCAACAGCTTACCCTTGTGGCACAAGACTTTGCCCGTACGTGTTCCGGAACTATGTGTTTCCGGTAAACCTACCGTAACACGCGGAGAGAGAGAGATGGCAGCCCCTCTAGACCGACTTTCAAAGGCCGATTTCTCTACAGACAAGTGGGAGCGGAAAGGGCCCAAACGAAAGCCCTCGACGAGATGTTTCAAATACCCACCATTTTCGGTCGGTGTTGGCACAATCTTGGTTGTGGAGCAATCGAGCTTTGAAAATCGGTCTGGGGGGGGTGCCATCTCTCGGCCTCATACGGTATCTAGCGAAGGGCGCATCCCACTCGCTGATTTATTCAGCTGAAACGTGAGTAATACGAGACTTGACAATTACCCCCACCATATGCAGGCTGCGGAGCGGAGCTTGGAGGACATGGCGATCGAACCAGGCCAGTACACCAACGTCACCCTCTTCCTGGGCAGGCTGCAGGGCCTCCCCGTCCAAAGGCAGAACCTCATGTTTACCTACCTCACGGTGAGTTATTTACCCTGACCCCATAGTCAGCGGACTAGTCTGGTGTCTTGCCTTGCAGCAGTGGTCCCTGTATAAGGCCACGTAGGGCCAAGGGATTTGGTCGGCCTTAAACGGGGCACCCGGCAGTATTCAGAGCGTCTCGTCTGCAAATTGCGATACACCTCTTGTATGTGTAACACTCATGTTTTACCGAGACTGGAGATGGGAGTAACGTTGGGGTTCGTTACCCGATGGTGGCGGGAATACTCTCATGTTAATATTAATACACAACAAGACACGACTGGTACATAAAATGTATATCGTTGTTTGTCAGTCCCTTCTTGTTGGGCAGTATTCCGGGGAACACAAGGATGGAATAGCGGTTGAGCATTGACGAAAATACTATTGTTTGTAAAATGTTACATGCGTGTCACGTGTGTTCACTGGTATTACACAGGGCAACCCGCCCGTCTACGTGGGCCACTAGCTGCTACTGTGTTCTCTCTTGCGATTTACAATGTCGTGCGTGCTTGCTTTGAGCCGTGCATTATATGGTATCCTCTCTCGCGATGTGTATTATGATGTTATGTATTGAATTGTGTTGTATTGTGTGCATATTGTAGTGTGACGTATTGTGGTATATAGTGTTGTCTTGTATCGTATTGTGATGTGTCGTGTGTACTTCCTGTGTGTGCTTGTGCCGTGTGCCCCCCTGTTCTCTGTTATGAGGTACAGCAGTGCGGGCCCCTGTTTAGTGCGGGTCGAACGGTTCCCGGTTCCCGTTGTAGTGCCGGTTGTTTCGGGCTATCCACGGCACTGAACGAATCACCAAGTAATTATGTTCTTTGAACGGTGCCGGTGTCTGGCTATATAGTGCCGGTCAACTCTCTGGACACATACCGGCACTAAACAGCCGTATCCCCTTTTCTCTGTCGCAGGGAACTCTGGATGCTGTGCTGAGCGAGGCCCGCGCCGCCGGTGTATACGATGAGGCCGTGGCCGACCTCCGTGCTAGCTCGGTGACTCTCAAGAACGCTCCGGAGGAAGTCGCCAAGGACCCTGCAACGGGAGCCATTACCCAACTAGCACAGGCAGGACGTCATTTCTGCTTTCACGACATTTATCGCTTCTCTAGATATTGCGTCCCCAAAACTGAAAAAGAACAACTCCCGAAACGAAAACAATACACACCCAAACAATAGAACACGCCCAACCATTCCATTCCTCTCTGTAGGTTGAGCAGCTTGGTCACAATGCAGAGTCTTTATTGGTATTGGTTTGGCCCTGCCACGTCGAACACGAACAATCGAGCTCCTCTTCGTCGGCGTGACGCGTATTTGACCTCAGGAGGGTTGATTGACTTTGCTTGTCCTCACCGACTGTCAACGCTAACGCCATCAGGTGGTGCTAGACCGTGGGGTGAGCTGGGACCAGGCGTTGGCCAAGCGAAGTGAAGCCGCGGACGCTGGCATGGATGAAGCTGTTAAGCCAACGTCGGGAGCCAAGCCGGTAGGAGTCGTCGTCCAGAAATGCCGTTCCCTCTTGTGCCTCTGACGTACCCTTCCGACTTTTGCTGACATTTTATCGTTTGTATGCTCACTCTATGGCTGTGTATCCAAGGAACCAGTACTATTTTATATATTTGAGTCTGCCTTATTAGTCCCATTGGCTTTGTTCGCCACCCCCAACAGTTCCAAACCAGCGATACCCTCTCCCGAGTGCTCCGTGCCCCACCTAACCAGTCTTGTGAGGTGCACGGCTGTAATTTGCCGATGTACCCCGATAAATTGGTCCAGGTAGTCTTGTGAAGATAGACACACTCTGTGTCTATCTAAAAGCTCAAGGCATTGGTTGAAGTTCACCTAGTCTATTCCGGTGTCTGAGCTCTTCCTTCCGCCAACCCTTGTTGTCCCCACGCCCTTCCAGCAATTATGTTGTCTTTGTTCAAGTCTTGGTATTGCTGCTGCTGCTGCTGCTGCTGCTGCTATTATTTTGCGATTGCTTGCCCACTTTCTTAACCACGCGCTTGTCCGCCATGGTTTTGGTCTTATTTTCGTGGCGCAGTCAACGGTATCGGGTGTGCATATGGGCTCCTCCCGGTAGCCAGCACGCGGATGCTGTCAAGGGTTGGCCGTTATCGCTTTGCTGTTGTCACTAACCAAACACTGCTCTCTCTCCTGCTTGACCTTGTGGACATTGCTCCGCCTGCCGCTGTCGCAATTTCTTTGCTTGGACAGCCGAAGGGGACGGGTTTCTATCGCAGCAGGCATACCGATATCACCAGCCAGCGCAAGCTCGTCGTGCTTGCCGTTCGCAAGGCCAAGCACAACAGGTTGATGGTGAGTGGCGACCCTTGTGTACTGTCACTGCTGTTTTTCGACTGCTGTTTTTCGTAAAGGCGCGTCCACAGCATTGGTAAGAGGTTGTATTTTGTAGCGATGTGCTTGTTTGCAGCCGTCAATGGCGGGAAGTGGAAGAATGCATGTGAAATGTTAGCATGTTTTTTTTTTTTTCTGTTGAGTCCAACGGAATGCCAAGCACGCATTTATCCCATCAGCCGGAGCACTCATGTTATCCCCACCAGCCGGAAGGAGCTTCGGCGGGGCCTGGTCGTCATGTTGTGTCCGGGTTCAGCGAACTTGCATCGTTTGAGTACGAAAACACATTCGCAGCAGCAACATTCGGGTCGATAATCGTAGAAGAAGCCCCCGTTTACTCTCTCGAAGGCAGAGCATCGTCCGTCGCCACAACATGGGTGTGTGGGTGGGAGTCGCGCCACGTGTACGGGTAGCATCGACTTGCCCAAGTGGCTGACCAATGAAATTACGTCGGCTCCCCTAACAGGGGGCGCGTGGATGTGCGGTTGATTGTGTGTTTCGTGATAGGCTGGGTCGTGTTTATTTTGTTCAACGCTTTCCCAGGTGATTACCCGTCCGAACACCGGCACGTCGGGATATGAGATGGACCTTCAGGAGCTCAGAGAGAAATACGATAGGGTATCAGACAATGAAGAGGCCACAGCGACGGTGCAACACGCGTGGACGCAGGTGAGCTTTTGGCGCGTAGTTTTCTTGGTGTACTGTGTGCTGATGCAAGCTTCGCCCCTTCGAAACGCGAAACCGTGAACGATTCCGAGAAAAACAAAGTAATACATGGCGGGAAAAGGGGCGAAATGAGGAACCGCTCTCTTCCCCGTCCCCCATCAAAGAGCGGTGTTGTCGTCTGCTACTCTTGTTCTAAGTCCTCCGGCCTGTGGGGACAGGTGTGGGGGTGTACTCACAGTCGTGCATGCCGTAGTCGTTAGACCATGGACCTCGCATCCCTACAAAGCCGGGACGGAGCACGCCGGGTTCTCACCGGACCAGGCTCTCACATCACCAAGCGCGAAGCGCCGTGAGATATTCGGCGAGTCGCATGAAGGGTGCGCTGCATCCTGCTAAGGGTGTTCGGCATCTTGTGCTTACTTCCTTGCGTACGGATGACAGCTGCGTATGACTTAATTTATTTTCTGGTGCTTACACTTCCAGAGACAGTTGTAAGCACTGTGTAACTGCCTCGAGGGTGCTTGACCATTTCAACACAACTTGGTGCGATCATCCCTCTTGCGCGGAGTGAGGCTTCTCGACCCCGCACAACATGATCTGCTCGACCACCATGGTGGTTACCGCCTAAAAAAACAGAGGTAAAAAAAAAACGGTATCCTGGTTGCCGAGTTCACCAAGTGAATTGGCTTGCTTTACAACGTGGTTGCCAAGCGACGAAAACCCAATCCCGATGGCAAACAACCGGANCACAACATGATCTGCTCGACCACCATGGTGGTTACCGCCTAAAAAAACAGAGGTAAAAAAAAAACGGTATCCTGGTTGCCGAGTTCACCAAGTGAATTGGCTTGCTTTACAACGTGGTTGCCAAGCGACGAAAACCCAATCCCGATGGCAAACACCGAGGGGGTGGCTTGCTATACAACGTCGTTGCCAAGCGACGAAAACCCAACCCCGATGGCCACACCGGGGGGGGACAGGTGGGATGTTTTAAGTTTTTTGTTTCAGGTATTAATCGGGGCCTCTGTTATTTGCGTGGTAACTGTGTGATGTGTTCGTGTGCTTGGATACGGACTGGTTAGATCTACCGGCAACAACAGAGGGCACGCAGATGGGGCATATGTACACCTTGAAATGGTTGCATGTGCGGGGACCCCTCGAACTCCAAAGAGGGCTTCACTTCTCCCTACTCCCCTTGCGTGTCTAATACAAGAGATAAAACGTCTTCCCTTTCCAAGTAAAGGATGTATACGAACACACTAGTGTCAGTCCCTCGAGGGAGAGTCCATTGGGAATGTCAGGTCGCAAAGATGGGGGTGACTCCTCCAGCGACTTTGCGGCGGAAGACAGAAAGAGGTCAAGAGAAGAGCTCGTGGCCCTGAGGACGCAAGTTATATCGCTGACGGATCATATGAGCCGGCTATTGTCGCTAGTGGAAGATACCATGAAGGCAAGCAAGACGGAGGAGCCAGCTGGCACCATGGAGGGTGCCGCCGATCGCGGCGATGCTAGGGAGAGCGCCTCCGCGGAGTCCACGAACGCCGAAGGAGGGGCACCGTGGACCGGGAGTGCGCAGGACGGGAGGTACCTGCGCGAACCTGTTCGAGAGTCTGGCCCGTCAGGGCGACACAGCGGCGAAGCAGGGGGCTTTGTGCCCCAAGAGGTGAGAGTAGCCACTGCTCACAACCAAGATTATAGTAGTGCCATGGGAGATGGTGGTGCTGCTGTTGGCTTTGGATACGGAGCCACAACCCCAGCGACGGGGTACCAAAGTGTGCGGTACAGGTCTCCCCCGTTCACCGGGAAATCGAAAGATTTCAACGAATGGCTAAATGATTCCCGTATGGCAGCTAATGGCGCAAACCTGTTGGGATAGTTTGAAGAGAGCGGGAGCTTGGAGATCCCAGTAAACAGCGGAAAGAGCAAGTTTTCGCTGTCACAGCAGTACCGGAGCGAGTAAGTAGAGCTCGCATTCCACGCGCGGAACTTCCTGTCTCACGCGTTGAACGAAGAAGATCGGCAAATCATGAAGAGGGCAGAGACGCCCCAGGGAGCTCTTCGTGAGCTCAAGACCATACACGACCCTGAATCATCTGTACAGCCGTTTGAGGACCTCAAGTCCCTGACGTCGACCAAGATCTCTAGAGGTGAAAACCCCCAAAACGCCCTAAATGAGATGCTCCAAACCGCAAAATTCTTCACCGAAACAGGACTAACTGTCAACGAAACGTTCGTCCTTCACCTCTTCCTGGATTCCCTTTCGGACGAGTATGCCATGGCAAAGCACAACCTGCGACACGCGAAGGAGTTGACGCGGACGGTGTGCCAAAGGAAGTAATGATCGAATACAAGGCGACCTAGGACAAGCTGGAGCAGGGG